TCGTATTCAGAATGACCGTGGTAGGTAGAGTGTGTGCTTTCATGGCTCTGCGAAAAGTACTTGTTATGTCGACTGTGCGAAAATGTCTTCTGTAGATGACGCTGTGTAATGTGGTTGTCCGGCGTCGGTGTGCTGTTCCGTTCGACGAGGGTCGCCCGACTGTTCTGTCCGTCTCAATGTGCTTTACGGCGTGGGTTTTGATAATTTTAGGAAATCCCGCCTTTGCTCTGGAACGGGTCCCTGTGTGACTTTTAGAAAACACTCCATTGGCTTGGTGAACTTCTGATTGGTGACCTTCTGCAAGGGCTTTGCAATGCGACGTGGAAAGATCTTTTTTTTGGACGATTTCCGATTGACGGCGTTCTGTAAGGGCTTCGCCGACAAAAAAGTATACATCGTTACAGCTGGGTATGGGCCTCGTCGGGGAAATTATCGTTCACCGATATTGTTTACGACGGTCTCCTCTTCCGTATGTCTATCCATGTGTTCGTGTTGTGTAGGGAGTTTAATGTCGTCGAGTCCTTCGACAAGCATCGCCATGACACCCGAGAAGCACATGCGCTTAGCGAAACCCTTTCCACCTTGTGCGAGATCGAATCTGTGACGATGCGGACTTGCGAATATTTACCTGCATTATTGTATCGGATTCATCCGAGTCTTAAATCAGTTACATATTTGCGCACCCGCAAATTGTACAGCATGTCTGATCGGTGACGGGCAAGGCTTGTAGTCCGGTTGAAGGCTGGCTGTGCACGTCTAATGTCAAGTCCGATATTTGCCTGCGTCGTTGCGTCGGATTCATCCGACTCTAAAGTATGTTACATACTTGCGGGTCCGCCATTTCTACACCATACATGTGAAAATCGGTGAGGGTGAAGGCTTGTCGTCCGGTTCAAGGCTGGCTATGCATTTTCTTTTTATTTCGTTGCGCTGCCCTCAATAGTGTTCCCCAACTGGCGGACGCATCTCTGTCGCTTTATCATTGCCAAAGTCCAACAACTGTCTCGGCTGCAATTTGGGTCAACGCCTGTTGCTCTGCTCGCAGGGAAAAGTGGAATGCTTCACTGGTGTGATACAACGACGGTCAATCAAGACTTCCCTCCCACGCCAGCTTGCCTTCCGTTACGTTTTCGGCAGGAATTGGCTGGGAAGGGATTGGTTATGGGCATTGGAGTTCCGAGCAGTGCCGATAGTACTTCTTCCTGACTCGAGCCATGTGCTTCCTTTGGAAAACGGTCACGTGACTCAAACACTCGGCATCGACGGAAGAGAACACAGTTGTCCACCTCCACCGCGCATTCGTACATCTGTCGTGACGTGCTCGAAGACCATAAAAATACTGGAAGAGGGGGCCAGTTTCTTATTGTCGATTGTACATCCAGAGTCTCTTCAACATGTTCTGAAATGACCGACGCTGGGATGTCGAGCTCCATACCCGAGGGGAATCTCGGTGACTGTAGTTATAGTGGGACGGAGTACGTGTATAGTACGAACAACTGCACTACTGCTGGTTCTTCCTTGGGAGTTGCCGATGGGAGTGATAGGGTTTCCTCGTCTACCCCTCCGCAGTGCCAGAAGAGTCAAGGACCGTCCACTGATGAAATCACTGAATACTGCTATTCACGAGACAATCAGAGCTCGCGATGCCTCTCCGAAGAGGACCGCCACATACGGTACATTTTGCGGGTGCCTATGCCCGGTGAAAGAAGACCCTATTCTATGGCAAACAGAGAACCGACCAAAAAGACACAGCATCGGCAAGCTATGGGCAAACTCAGGATGCAGTCACTTCAGGCAGTGCGAGGGATGCTCTGTTGTAGGCGGATGTGTTGCGCTGAACTGACAGCCGAAGATGTCAGGCCGGTGCGGGAGGCATTCTACTCGAAAAGTTTCGCGGAAAGGACGAAGTGGTGGTTGCAAACCATACATGACTTCACGGTTATGGAAGGTGGTGCTGAGCGGGTCAGGCCTGTAGCTTGCAAACGGAAGATGTGCGTGCAGGCGTAGTGTAACATTCTCGACATTTCTCGTAACACATTCTATGTCTACAAAAGGATGTACGATAACGGTGTTGTCGTTAGGGAGCATGGGCACTCGGGCTTGTCTAAACCATCCGAAAAAGTCGTCACGATGCTTGCACTGTTGAAACGAGTCATCGACGACCACGCCGATAATGCGGAATGACATGGTCTGGAAAAATGGAGTTTGTTGTCCTCGCCGTAGGATTCCTGCCGCATTCACAAAACGAGCAATTTACGAATCATTGCGCTCTGATCTTTTGATGTGCCACTCGGAAGTTGTGTCGGAGTCGACTTTCTACGCTATGTGGAGTAAGCACTTCTGGCACCTGAGTCTAGCTATGTCCAACACATTCACGAAGTACGCAAAATGTATATTCTACAAGCAGTGCATTGCTAAGTCGAAGTACGAGAGGAACCGTAAGAAATCCAAAGATAGGATGCGGAAACATCAAGAGTTGCAAGTCAACCACAGGCTAGACTATAGCCGCTGCAAAATGGATTCCATCTTGCGGCATTCCGAGTGTCTGTGCATCATTATTGACGGCATGGATCAAAAGAAAACTACCATACCGCATATAGGACAAGCTAACTACTCGAAGGACTTGCACCACGAGAGGATGATGAAGACTGGTCTCACTGCCGTTCTGGTCCATGGCCAGGATCCGTCTATATATGTTTACACATTTTTTCCTTACTACACACACGGTCCCAGCAGTACGGCGACGTGTTTAATGCGGACTCTTACGGAGATCCAATCCAGTGGGAAACCTCTACCTCCGTTTCTTCGTATTCAAGCTGACAACTGCTTCAAAGAAAACAAAAATAGATTCATCTGCGCATTGGCAACACTTCTTGTGAAGTTCGGGATTTTCAAGGAAATAGAAATTGGTTTTATGATAGTTGGACACACGCACACAGACGTCGATGCCACGTTTGGTGTTTTCTCCAAGAAACTCAAGGACAACGATGCCTACACAATGGATGAATTGTTCCTTTTGCTAGAGCGGTCTCATAAGACTCCTCCGCGGTGTATTTTTCTTGATAGGATAGCAGAATGGAGAGGTGTTATTTACCCGCATGTTTCAAAGCGCATGGCAGGGATTTTGAAGCCTCATTTGCAAAAATTATACATGATAGGTGATAATCCCGCCATGTCCTATAAAGAGTATTGCACAGACGCTACCTCTTTACTGAATCAAACAAACAGACAACGGTGGTTACGCTGGTCCGCAGCAACCTTTCGATCCTCTGCCGGTCCAACCGGTGTTCCTCGACGATTACAAGAACGGTTTGGAGGGTGTGAAGAGGTTTTTGGAAGTTTATGAAAAAAAAAGAGAAACTTTGATGACTTTCCGAGACGAAGAGGTGACTAGAATAGATAGGGTTTTTCGGTTTTGGGAATATCACGTCAAACACGCGGGGGATATTATCGACAACGGGGTGCCTTCGGCACCAATCACCGCATTCTGGCCAAAGACCACCCATGTCGTTGAAGACATGAGTTCTTGCTCTGATTCGGATGCATCCGAATTACAGAGAGAACCTCTATTCGTGGGTCTTCAGAGGGACAAGCCTAAGGCCAGCTTTGATCCTTTTGAAGATGTGCATGTGGACAGTTTTGTCATTATGCAACCGTCAGACGAGGACATGCATCAAGGAGTGTCTTTTTGGGTTGGCCAGGTTCGCAGTGAAGTTGACAAGAACGAAGATTCGCCAACTTACAACCAATTCAGAGTGGAGTACTGGGTTCCAATTGGAAAAGCGAGCACACTAAGAGAATTGTATGCCGACGCCTGGGGAAAAAAATGGAAAAAAGCTCCAGGGCACGAGGAAGAGTATCAACATGTCACAACCGTTGCGTTTTCTTGGATGAGACAAACGAGGACGAATGTCTGCGAGTCCTCCAAAAAGTTTACCATCGGTCTTTTGATTCCTCTGAAAGTAAGAAAAAATGCAATTCCCGCCCTAGAAAACGGCGTTGGCGCTCAAACACAAAGCGTTTCCGGAGAAGGGAGCGGCCAGGAGGCTACCTTATCGAGAGTGTGATGGTTGTCGTCTTTTCGTGAGGAGAACGTATTGCCATGCTGGCCTGTGCACACCACGCTTGACTCCATGGAATACATCGCTTAATGATTTGTGCTCTCTGGGTTACGGGCTTCAAATCAACAAGAGTTCTTCATCAATTTTCGACATTGAGCGTGGGAGCGTTTTGGTCGTCGTAGCATGACCTCGGGCTTTCGGTCCTGACCTTGATGTGACGCTTTTATTGTGACTTTTGTCTTTTGCAGTGTGCAGACTTTCCTCTTCTGACGTACTTCGAAAACATGGATGAGATTTTGGGCTACATTGAAATAAAAGTACCTGAACGACCGACGATCATCACAAAGGGAGGAGCGTTTCCTTTTCAATATGAGAGAATCTTCGGGATCGTAGCGGGAGGACGGACAATGTTTGTCATTATGGTGAGGTTTACTGATCTCAACATTTTCGACATGCGAATATATGAGTGTCGGGGTGAAAATTGGATGCGACGAGATTTTACAAGAGCTTATGTAAAAGCTTCAGAAGTTCTTGTCGCCTTGAGACGTGCTGTGCTCGGAGCAGGGGGTGACATTGAGGGTTTCTCGTTTGCCATTACGAAGTTTGAAGATCTGCCTCAACCTCCAATCCCGGCTTGCATGGTGGACGGTTCGACATGGGAACCGATAGTGAACGCTCTGCGAAGAGGCTTCTTCTGAGGACTTCAACTTTTTAAGACGTTTGGTGACCAGTCTTACGTTTCTGGAATTTTGTGTCGTTATGTCGGATTTGTGAACATTTTCGTAGTATAGTCATTTCTGATTATTTTTAATTTTCACCAGTTTGAAAGACGAGTCTCGACACTTCCCAAGTTTTGTGGTCGAATGTCAGAGTAGTTGAAATTTGCACACTGTAAAGTATTAACGAAAGTCACGAGTGCCGACCCTGGCTCATGGTCGATTGTGGTTCGGATGCATCCAACCCAGAGAATAAGGATACTGTTACGACAACCAAACACAAGAGCGTCAAGGGGGAAACTGGATGCTGGGGGATTTTACAGCACCTTATCTGCAAGTTGCAGATGTTCTTGTGTCCTTGAGACGTGCTGTTGTCTTTGTTGGGGGAGACATTCAAGGTTTCTCGATTTCCATTACGGAATTCGAAGGTCTGCCTCAACCTCCTATCTCGGCTTGCATTGTGCACGGTTCAACATGGGAACCGCTAGTGAACGTTTTTCGAAGAGACTTCTTTTTAAGATTTCAAGTTCGGGACACTTTGGTGACGAGTTTTACGTTTTTAGAGTTCCGTCCGGATGTCGGATTCGTGAATGTTTTCATAGTGTAGGTTTTTTTAGAGAGACATCTCGACATCTTCAAATTTTTGTGTTAGAATGTCCGATTAGTTGAAATTTTCAAGGAAACTTTTTGGTTAATTATGGACGGTCCGACATAGCCTTGCCAAATCTTTGGTTAATGAAAACTTTTGAGGTAACCGTTACGAATTCACAATATTGGGACCAGATAACTGTTATCAGTTTTTACGACGTACTTTTCATTTGTCTCGACAATTGTTGTGTGCCTGCTTATGTAGGTTGGGTGTCCCGCTCTGTTTTTAATTTGTTTTTGTTTTTCAATCTAGTTCTCATGAGTTGTCAATTGTCTTCAAAATCTAGTGAGATCTTTCAAAATAATTATAAGGTTCTTGGTCACTTTAACAACTGATAATTTGTACACAGTTTGATTTGGATGTATCCTACGCATTCGTTTGAGCCTTCTCCAATGCCCAATCCTCAGATAATAACGTCTCTACATAATATGCTCCCCACCACTTCACTCCGTACGATGCCCGTTTGTTTTGAGAAATGTTTGCTAAAGTGATAATGTACATGCAACCGCCATCTAGTTTTAACATACATCATTTGATCTCAAAGCAAGGACAGTGGAGGAGTGGTGGGCAGGATTGGGTAGGGATGTTACAAGTTCATGGTTGCGAGGTCGAACCCGGCAAGCGGCAAATGATAACATATCTGCATAATGCTGCTTACCACTTCACTCCGTCCGATACACTTTTGTTTTAAGAAATGTCTGTTAAGCTATAATTGTTCTTGGAATGATAACATATTGGTTAATTTTCCCTCGGAGGGTGATCTAGGCTATGATCATAAGTTCATCCTTTAAATTGAGTGAACTTCAAGGATATTTAATAAATGACGCACGGCTAATAACATAACGGATTTTTCGTTGAGGCTTTAAAGGGTGCATGGGAGTGAAAAGAATAGCTCATTTTTGAAGTTTAATTGAATACGAGCAGGATGAGTAGGATACATCCGAGTCACATGTTTCGATATAATCCATAATACACAAGTTGGCTAGTTTTATAGTAAAACTGGAATATATCCGAATCAAATATTTCATTAAGACCTTTTTCGGGTCACTCATATGCGTCCCTCATAAGGGGAAACCTTCGATATGCTACGTTCGTACTGATTGTCTGAATGTGTGCCACTCGAACGACAAAAGTACTATTTAGAAAATAATGTACTATTTTAATGAATAACATGTTCTTCATCTACCTGTCTAAATGATTCTCAATCTTTATCTCTTCCGATCTCTTTTCATCAAAGATACCATGAACTTAGTAAAATTGAAAATAATTGAAAGCTTATTGCAGTGGACACATCTTCTATCCCTAGGAAGCATCTGGGACTGGGGTTCATTGCTTTACGAGCCGACCCTGTTATCGACTCAGAGTGGACCGTTCTACGGAGGGGTACTTTGCCGATTCAGTGGAGACGGCCCGACTTCTAAGATCCGAGTCTTGTGCTCGGACGAGGAGGAGGAGTACCCCAGACCACTTCCTAGAGGGAGAGGCATGCAACACTTTCAGCAATGCCTCTGATCAAGAAATCATTCGCAAAGTAACATGTCAACCAAGAAGATTGAGAAAGGAAGAAGATAGGAATGTGTGTCGAATCTTTGGTGAGCGGTAGGTTGGAATGAATGACTTTGGCAACGTGTCTCATCAAATCAAAACTAAGGCAGCCTGAATACCTTGTCGGCTACGTTTAAGTTATTGTCAGAAGCCAACTCCTCGTTGGCGGTTGTATGATTGTTTGTGGAGTTCGACCCGAGGTGGTCGGGGTTTATTTTGATATTGTATTATTAGATGTTTCATATGATGATTCGATTTCTTTTAGTTATTATTTCAGATTGAATATTTATCTGCGTCGACTGCGGTCAACTTTTTTTGATGTAATTATATGTGTGGTTGTTATAATTTTCTTTTGACGGTGTGTCTAAGGGCCTAGGATCAAGTTCTGGGTTTCACGCTTGGTTGAGACCGTCCTAGTCGATCGACGTCCGCTTCGTACCTAGTAGATCAGCGCCCTAGGAACAGACGACGCTTGGGACAGCTTGACATTAACCAAACGTATGTATACTACAGCGAACGAACAAACGCCCTCGGTTGGCCTACCTCTGAAATTGCATCTAAAAGCTTTCGCACGTGGGTCAGTAGCTCGGTAGGGATACGCCCCTAAGGGTGGTGACAAACCCTTAGGGAGGGAAAGTTTATGCCCTGCGGGAACCTATCCTGTCGTAGGGGACCGCGGGATGTACAGCTGGCGCACCCGGCCAGAGCGGCGAAGGGACAACACAACGGCGGTCTTCTCGGCGGCTTGCGGGATTAGTTAGGCGTCCGTTCCCGAGTTGACTCTTGGTTTTGTTTTGTTTATCTCCTGCGTGACATGGTCGGGAGGGCTCCCGCGCTTTGCGAAAAAAACGGGAGCCGATGCACTCGACAGGTGGCGCCGTTGCGAGGGATAACGGCAAACTACCGTTGTCCCTAGCGGAACGACGCTCGGGCATTTTGTTTTAAGTGGATAAATTTATCGTATTCTAATTATTTTATCTTCATCGATTGATTTTATTATCATTTATCTCGATAAAACTATTTTTGGATTTCATTTTGGTGATTGTTTTGGTTATTTTTGAACTTTCAAGCTGGATCTAAATTCATAGAATTTTGGCATTAATTATATATAATTTTGTAACTGTTTTTGTATTCGACTTATTACATTGAGAGTCACTGTTTTATGTGTCATATTTTAACTATATCGTTTATCACGAACCTCGAGGTATTATTTTAATATAATTCTTGCGTAAATTGTTATTGGTTGGAATTATTTTGAAAATTCGTCAACCAAGCCTTGACTTCCTTTTGATATGGTTTTGGAGATTTATTTAGTCATGCATCAGATATTGGAGTGATGTATATTTTGATCGAGCAGTTTATCCAGACTCCCATTTATTTCGAGATTATCCGTTTCAGTGGTGTTTTTCTATAATTGAAGGAGAAAAGGTTAACAACAGTCGTATTTTTCATCACAACTTCAGGACACCCTTCACCACTTCAGGATGCAACCTGCCTAAACAGGTGGTTTTCAGGGTCTTCAGACCTTTCACCACTTCATGACCATTCAAGTATGAAAATCCTGAATGGTCCTGAAGTGGTGAAAACTCCGAAGACCCTGAAAACCACCTGTTTAGGCAGACTGCATCCTCAAGTGGTGGAGGGTGGTTTTCATGGGCTTCGGAACTTTCACCACTTCAGGACCATTCAGGATTTTTAGACTGCCAAAAACTCTTACTTGACCACTTCAGGACACCCTTCACCATTTCAGGATGCATCCTTCCTAAATAGATGGTTTTCAGGGTCGTCGGACCTTTCACCACTTCAGGACCATTCAGGATTTCAGACTGCCCAAAACGCTCACTTCAGAATTTTCATTCCTGAATTTTCAGCTACCCGATAACTGCTTGTGAATTGAAGGCATCTTATTTACTGTTGAAGATTATTTAGCTTGGATCATTATGAAATTTCATGTGAAAGCATTTGTGGTAAGTTATATTGTTGTTGTTGAATGTATTTGGGAAATAAGTTTTGAAGGCGTTATCATGTCACGATAAATTTCTAATGGATTTGTGAGCTCTGTAGGTGATAGTGAGGCATGCGCCGGAATTATCCTTGGTCCATAGTGGGATGTTGTCTTCTAATTCCTATGTGGTTTAAGGAAGGGACACTACACTATCAGTGAAAGGGAGGAAGGTATTAAGATTCTGTTAGAATGTTGCATGTAAGGGTAGGCGACTATCGTTTGTCATGAGGGGAGGAGTGACTACCTAACCTCGTGCCCGACATGGTCACCTTACCTCCATGATCGGGGCCTAGTTGACCTCGACCGTGTGGGGTGGGACAGTTCTACTCTATATGTAGTGGACTAATGAAGTCAAAGACACTGGAATCGGAGGGAATGTGGTGAGGCTCGAGTCTAAAGCGGGGCTTGATGTAGAGATGTTATCCTCATACGGATTATACCACTCCTTGACGCATTCACAATGGGGTCAAAAGTAGCGGGCATGCTAATTTATGTGAATGGGAATGAGGATCAGAACTTGGTCGGGGAACTTTGAACGAATGGTTTCTCTCATGAATGGTTGGTTCAGATTTTGTCTGGGTCGCCTAAGAGGTTAATTAGTTTGAAATACCCGTGAGGGGGTTAAACCTGACTTTTTTTTTAGATAAATGGATGTATCAACCAATTGGGGTTTTGAAGGCTAGCCGGAAACTTGTCCGGTACCATTATGAAAAACTAAATCTTTTGTTTTGAGTGGCCGCCAGTGGAATGATGCTGGGATCATTCTGAAAAAATTCCCCTAAATTGAAGGTTTTCAGGGGCTAGACCTAGGTCCAAGTTTCGATAAGGCTTGCCAGAGGCAATATCTGGTATCAGTCCATCCACATATGATTGTAATGATTTAAGGCTCCTGGAGGCTAAATCCAGTCTTTTGTATTAAGTGAAGGTTTCTGAAGGCTAAATCCAGTTTTTTTACTGTATTGTTGTAAAATTGTTGTAAAAGTTCCGACTTACTATGTGTCCGAAATCGGATTCAACGGGGGTTTTGAGTTGAACGGTTCAACTCTCATTCAACTTCCGTTGCAACTCCGCGTTAAACAAAGTTGAACATGGTACAACTCGGCCCACGAATTTTGTGTTTGCAGGCAAAACATAAGTGAAAAAATAAAAATAAAAAAATGTGGGTGTAGTTTTGTTTGCTCTCTACATCCCCATATTTTTATTTTTATTTTTTTAGCATTAAAATTATT